TATAGAAAGATCAAAATAGTGTTATTACATCATATAAACATTTAGACAAAATTGCAAAAATGGTCTCTGCCTTTTTTTTGCGATTTTAGTTCAAATCACGACTTTTTTGGATTGGTGGTCCTTTTGGACTAGTTTGTATGTGAAAATAGTCCCTCCAAAAATTGAAATAACTATAATACCTTTGAGGGATTTTTTTTTCCTTCATTTTTTTAAATCTAATAATAATTATTTAATTATTTGAACAATTAAATAATAAGTTTCTCTCTCTCTCTCTCTCTCTCTCTCTCTTCACGATAATACTGATAATAAGAAACCACCCTTACTCCACACAATTGATTTTCGGGGCTTCTCTGTTACACAATTGATTTCTGATGCTCATATAATTGAAGGGCTTCCGATGGCACTCTTCATCCCCACTAATGGCGCTAAGAACCAATCTCTGTTTTCTGATCTCCAAGACGAGTCGCACACGATGTTAAAGCAAACCCTTAAAGATACTATTACTTCTCTGGATCTTCACCGTTTCCTTCAATTCCTACGCCGTTTTCAACAGTGATTTGGAAAAATTAGGAAGTGATGGAGTTAAAGAGCTCTGCTTCCAACCCGTCAGGAGTGTTGGCAAGCTGGAGAGAAAGCTATTCGACTCTTTGTTCGTGGGTCGGAGTCTCATGCCTGTCGGATGTGGGTCGTAGTGCGAAATTAACAGGTAAGTTGTCAAATGCTATCTCAAAGCTTTCAGAACTTCGAATCTTATCACTCCCGTTTAATTAATTCCTGATGAAATTTGGGGTATGAAGAAGATGGAAGTGATTGATCTCGAAGGGAACATACTCAATTGGGATTTAAAATCCAATTTCAGAGATTCGAAAAACCTTAGGGTTTGTAACCTTGGGTTTAATCAGATATCTGGAAAATACCCAATTTGTTATCCAATTTGAAGAATCTCCAAGTGCTCAATCTTGCACGAAATCATCTAAATGGTTCAATTCCACGGTTTTTCAACTAGTTTACCAATTTGTAGTAGAAGGAAAGCAACGTTTTTCGCTATAGCTCCCATTGATTCTTTTGTTGTGAATATTTTTTAAGGATGGCTTTGAATTGGACTGTTAGAGCAGAACTTTTCTTCTTGAGACTAGCCTGGCCTCTGGTTGCTCCTACAAGACAGGCTTTACAACTCCAAGCACTCTGATAGTAAGGACGACATTCAAACTTTGGGTCTGGCCATACATCTTGTTGAATATATATACTTGTGAATATGAATAACAATGAAAAAGGGTTAATTTGATTTGTTTTTTTATTAGGATTCATAGTCGTTTAGATGAGATTCCAAGCTCAGATTGCTTCGATGGAGTTCAAGTGCAATATATTGGATTGAAATTATGTGAACGGTGATCACAAGTACGAGAGAGAGAGAGACAGAGAGAGAGAGAGAGAGAGAGAGAGAGAGAGAGAGAAGAGAGAGAGAGAGAGAGAGAGAGAGAGAGAGGTGGACTCCTTCTTAATTTATTAATTATTATAATAAATATATTAGTGTTAGATTTAAAAAGAAATGAAAAAAAATGAAAAATAAATAACCTAAGGGTATTACAGTCATTTCACTATTCAGAGGGACTAAAAACGCAATGAAACTAGTTCAAAAGGACCACCAATCCAAAAAAACTCGTGGTTTGGACCAAAACCCCCAAAAAATTATACCACAGGGACCATTTTTGCAATTTTGTCAAACATTTATCTATACCATATACATATGAACCATTAATCAAGATTAAGTTAAGTATCTTTGCTTTGTGTTATCCAATAATCAAGAATTGTCAACGGGTTGATTTAAAAAAATAAATAAATATTAAATTAAAGTGTAAACAAAAAAAAATATTTTTTAATGTACAACTTTAAAATAAAAAAAGAAAAACGTATTTATTACAATTTAATATAATATATATGATATTTAATGTTATATATATATATATATATATATATATATATATATATATATATATATATATATATATATATATATATATATATATATATATATATATATATATATATATATAAAAGAGAGTATGAAAATATGACCCGTTCCGCTGCCCCCTTCATAAACAAAGAATGAACAAAAAGGAGTTGAAATGGTCTATCAATGAAGCCGTAAACAAGTCCCATTTTGAGTGGGCTACAGCGGCACAAAGCTTTCTCTTAGGGCTTCACGGGCCCTAAAAAAGCCCATCAGCTAAAGAATAGGCTTATGTTTGGCACTTGGGCCGAGTCAGTGTAGGAATTTAGTCGTTCAACTAGTTTATATTTGCCATTTTTCAACAAGTTTTCTACCTTTATCCTACCCTTATTATTTCCAAATGTCCAATACATTTATAGCCTCGCATGTTATATATCATGAACAAAACGAAATTACAAGGATATACTGTCTACACCAAGCAACACACAGTGGTGCATCTTGACCAAGTGTCTATAACAATACAAACTATTACATAAGTTTACTATCTTAATGAGCATACAAACTATAACAATACCAAAAAAATCTTCATACCTACTATTGTTTTATTGGGATGGAGATGCCATGATTAAAGTTCGATGAGATTTTATAGGGGAAGTTAAGGCTGAAAATGAACAAGAACGTGTAAACGAATGAATTTTCTTTTTATGTTCGTTTGTTTAATAAATTACTTTGTTTATTTTCGTTCATTAAAGTGCAAAATAAACAAAAAATAATGAAGATAAATGAATGTAAATAACAAATAGACAAAACTGCAAAAATGGTCGCTGTGGTATGCATTTTTTTTTTGGGGTTTTAATCCAAACCACGACTTTTTTTGATTGATAGTCCTTTTGAGCTAGTTTCTTTGTATTTTTTTGTCCCTTAGTAAACTGAAAAGACTATTATGCCCTTATTATATTTATTTTTCATTTTTCTTTTTTCCTATATATATATATATATATATATATATATATATATATATATATATATATATATATATATAATAAAAATAGGGACCCACATACTCACACACACACACTCCCCCCCCCCCCCCCAAAAAAAAATAAATAAATAAATAAGGGGAAATGACTTTTGTCCATGGCAGATCGAAGAAGATGAACATAAGCCGTCATAAAAAAATGATCCCGTGATGTTTGATCGAATCACAAGGAGGGTGGGGGTGGGGCGAGGGGGAGATCGATCTCCGACGACCCTCTAAGGGTTTAATTTACGTTTCCGGCGACAACAACCAAGGCGAAAAAGAATTGGTTTGAAGGCAGATCAACAACACACCCCACCCCCCGCTTCTTCTTCCTCAACCATAAACACACACAAAAATCGAAGATTGTAAATTGATTTTGGCATGGTTCTAAAAAGCGCGTCATGGCGTGCCTCAAGACGTGCCATGGCATGAGGCGTGATGTAGCCGTTACGAAAACGTCAAAGGCGGGTTTGTGAAGCGTGACGCCCAAATAACGTGTCAAGGCGTGCCTTATCGCGTTATGACGCAAGTTTTTTTCAAGGTGTGAGATTTTTTTTTTTTTTTTTTAATTTTTTATCGGACCTAAAGTAAATGAGTTTTTGTTAACTTTTTGTTATTAGATATTAATATAACACTTCTAAAAACTTCATATATTTGATAAAATTCAATAATTATATGCTTTATATCTTTTAATGTATATAATATAGTCACGCCTTGAAAAACGTCATAGCTCGTCAAGGCTTGTCATGGTTTAATTTTTACCTTGTCACCAAGTCACGCCTTACGTTATTTAGAACCTTGGATTTTGGAGAAGAAGATTGGCTCTCAATTCGAATAGGCCACTCTTTAATGATGAAATCAAATGTGCGAAGAAAAGGCATGTTCAACCTAGAAAAGGCAGTATGTAGCCACAAGTTTTTCATGACTGCTCCAAACCACTGGACCCTGTCTTAAAAACCCTCCAACCTAGAAAAACCCTTCGTCTGTTGGAGAAAGATGAGAAAAGGGTTAAGGAGGTCCGACAAACTCTTCCTTGGTCCATTTGTTCGTCATCGACGGTCTAATAAAGGGGAAGAAGAACAAAACGGAAACAAATAACGAGAGGGTGACTGCAACTGGTGGAAGAAGGAAGAGCAGCCAGTTCTTCCGGCGAGCTCCTTCTCTCGGTACTCCAACCTTCGATGGTGCAACTATCGTACGTGGTGACTACGGTGACGTTTAATCAGTTGCGAGGAGGGCTTAGCAGGCACAAGGTGTTTAGCAGCTAGAGTTGATGAAATAGAAGGGAATGGGAGGAGGGTTACCATCGTTGGTGAAGGTCACAGGTTTGAACACTTGGATATTTGATTCCTAGGTTGAAGAACAAACATACATGAATTGGAATGGTGAGTTAATTATTTTATTTTTCATTTAAATTAAATAGAAAAGACATAAAAAATATATGAGAAGGGCATAATAGTATTTTCAATTTACTGAAGGACCAAAAAACACAAAGAAACTAGTTTAAAAAGACCACCAATAAAAAAAATCGTGGTTTAGATTAAAATTCCAAAAAAAATACATACCACAGAGACCATTTTTGCAATTTTGTCTAACAAATATTAAAAAACCATACATATATACATGTATTATAGCAAATCTTACGATAAATACAACATAAATGAACGAACAGCACCAATATTTATTTTCGTTCGTTTAACTAAACGAACAAACAATGAAGAACACCAATATTTATTTTCGTTAAACGAACAAACAATCTTGTTCATTGTTCATGTTCATTCATTTAGTAAAAAAAAACTTCCGCCATTTAGTTCCTAAGCAAAATATTTAGTTATTTTGTAATAAATATGTGAAAAATGGTTAATTGTGTTTTGTGAGTGTCTTTTAAATGAGGGAAAAAAGAATGAAATAAAAAAAAGCATCTTCTTCATTAAAGATGGGATGGAAAACTTGTTCATTGTGGGAATGATTTTAAACGCTGAACAAATTTTGAGGTTCGGCAAAGAGTTAAAAGCCAAATGATGAATATCAACAAGTAGCTTGATGGAGAAGGAGACACTGTGTTAGAATTTCATTCCCCATTGCTTCAGCAACTTGTAAAGGCGTTACATCTCTATTACACTTGGCATTAACGTTTGCTCCTCTGATTACCAGCACCTCCACCGTATCTTTGTCGCCGCCAACCACCGCCATATGCAGCGGCGTCCGCCCTTCCGCATCCGTGCATTCCAGATCAGAACCAAACTCAACCAGCAACATCACCACATCTTTGTAGCCTTTAATGGATGCCATGTGAATCGCAGTCAAACCGTACTGATCTCGAAAATCCACACTCGCATCTGTCTCCAACAGAAATTCTAGGCGCCCTAGATCTCCCCGGCGTGCGGCGTTTAACACCTCTTCCCCTCGTTCTAGGGGTTTCAACCACTTCTTTCTGCATCGTCGTCACAAATTACAAATTAAAACTAAAATTACACTTCTTTTTCACCTTCTAATTTATGAATGTTTTGATTTTCACTTACATGTCCCTCATCTCGGGCGACATCAATGGCGGAACGATTCCGATTATCGGCGACGATCGATGGATCTGCACCAAGTTCAATCAACACTTTTACCATCCGACGGTCACCTTTCGCTGCTGCTCTGTACAACGCCGTCCAACCATCGATACGTTTAGCGTCCACGGTAGCACCTGCACCCGCCAACAGTTTAACACACTTCTCATACCCTTTGCTTGCCGCTAAATACAACGGTGTCTTTCCTTCTCTATCTTTGCAATCCAACGCCCAACGGTTTCCCATTTTAATCAATCTCGAAACCTCATCTGTCCGATCAAACGCCGCCGCCACGTGTAATTCCGACCACCCTTTCTCCGTCCATTTAGATTCTTCCACGTCTTCTAAAATCCGAGTTGTTGACTCAATTTTCAACCCGGCCTCCAGTAGCAAACTCACCATCTCAACAGAATTATCCAACCTGACAGCCACACGGTGGAGCGATTCAGCCTCACGAGTCGATAACTCGGCTAAAATCGTCCTCTGAAACTTTAACATACTCCTCACAGCGTCGCAATCACCGATATTCACCGCATGCCGGAGCAGGAACGGACCGACGAAGGCGACTTTCAGTTTAATGTCATGCGTCCAGGAGGTGATGGTGTCCGGGTTGGTCGACACGGAGGATCCGGCTAAGGAGGTGCGGATGAGGAAGCGGTCGGAGGCGGAGCGAGGGAAAGTAGAAGGAATTTTCGGTTGCGGTCTGAGGATTATCTGGAAGGTGGATTGAGAGAGAGGAGAGATGAGTCCACTCGGTGGATTGACCAGGAACTTGTGAGGAGATGAGGTTTGGATTTTGAAGGCGATTGAGGTGGTAGCGCTGAGAGATCTGAGGCGGACGGTGGCTCTGCATTTGGTTCCGAGCACGAAGTCGATGCATACCACCTGGTCCGACACTTCCACCAACTTCTCCATCTTGGAAGCATCACACTCTGCTGGATCGAAGAAGATAACATATCTGAAAAATGTAGTCCAGATTCACGTAATTGTTGGGACCATTTGTGATTTGTGGCCCCATGATTGAATAATATTGGAGCTTCCGAAGAACTTGTATAATGAAAAAATAATTTAATTGATTGATTGATAAAGTGTTGTCAAATACAGAAACAGAAGGGACAAGGTTCGTGATACAAGAAAGAAACATTGATGGAGGACTCAAATAATGAATCAAGAAATAAAGAATCATGAAATGCAACGTGTGGTTCTGGTAAACCTTTAACTTAAAAAGAAAAAAAATATGATTTTATGAAAGCAAAAAATACTTATGATGTAATAAAATGTCATAAAGAAAAGATATATTTTTGTGATATAAGAATTTATAATAATCCTTGGTTATAATCCGTGGTCTATACACTTAACTAAGTAAAACAATATAAATATTTAAAATTATAATCATTAATCATACATTTGAAAAACTGTTATTTTTATATATAGTTTCATGTTTTGTCTGAAATTTATCGGTGTTATTTTTAAATAACATGTAAAATGGTTTTAAAATATCAATTAAAAATCACACAACAAAATATAAAATCTAATAGACTGAAAATAAGACGATATGAAGAAACATATATAAAATGGTCTGTATTTATACGTATTATAGAAATAATCAATGGCTATAATTATATTCGAAGTATGGAAACAATATTAAGTTTTAACTATAAATAAATTACAAAAATGGTCCATATTTATACAATTGACAAAAACGGTCATTCGTTAAATTGTACAGACATTACATAAATAGTCGAATTTATAAATTTAGTCATATTAGGTAAAAAATAAATAAGAAATAATTAAAATGATTACTTGTATCTAACATTATTCCAACACAAAGTAGATTGTTATTTATTATATTTATATGGGTTGACAACTTAAACTAACATAAATAATAATAATAAACGATTTGCTATAAAATAGAAGACAAAGAAAAGTTAGATATATGTATATAAGAAAAAAATGAAAAAAAAAAACAAATAATTAATTTGTATATCGGTATTTTATGATGGAACCAAGTAATAACTATAAAATTTTGGTAGACACATGACAACAGCCACAATCGTACAGAAAAATACCCTAATGTTTTACTAACAATCCAAAACGTAAGGTAATCTAAATACATAGTATATTATTTATTTTTCATTTTAAGTGGGTAGAATTAAGAAAAAGAAAAAAAATAGTAAGAATGTCCAAGTTGACCAAAAAGATCATTTTGACTAAAACTTTATACTTTTTTGCTTTAAGTATTTCATAACCGTGTAAGGTTTATTTTTGTTCATTTTTCAGTGGTTCAAATAACCAAAAAAACAATTGACCAAATTGACTGAAAAGATCAAAATTGTCATTTATAAAGAAAGTATACTTTATGCTTTAAGAGTTTCATATCATTATAACATTCTTTATTCAGTTTTAACTCGTCGATAAATGATAAAAAGGAATAAAAATGGTGAAAAAACCAAATTGACCAAACACACAAAAATGATCATTTTCACGGAAAAACTTCTACTTTTTGTTATCAAATTTTCATATAATTACAAAGTTCTGGTGTTTTGTTATAAGTGCTACAAATAACCAAAACATTAGACTCTGTAATTAGCAATGTACTTTATATAATAATAAGTATGATGCTAAATTGGACATAAAAATGAAAGTAAATTGCTATTTAGTGCATTTACCTGAATCATGGGCTAAATGTACTAAATAGCAACATACTTTCATTTTTATGTCTAATATAACATTATACTTTTTACTATATAAAGTACATTGCTAAATAAAACTTAATAGTCCCTGTTTAAAAATTATAGGAATGGTCCCTCTGCTAAACAAAACAGTTGTACGAACGGTCCCTAATTAAATAAATGTATAAAAATGGTCCTTGTATAAAAAATAATGCATAACATGTCCGTGTTTAACGAAATTATCATAAATGGTTTGTGCTTAAAAAAACGCATAATTTGTCAAAATGGCCTAATTGACCAAATTAAACCAAATATGCGGTTGAAATGAGGAAAAAGGGAAAAAAATGGTCAAGAGACCAAATTAAAAATGAATCTTTTAAAGAAAAAAAGACGGGAGCTTCTAGTATAATTTTTGATGCACGAGGCCTCTTCAAATTTTGTATGTTTTTGTTCATACAAGTATACTGTTAATATTTTTAGTAAGGCTCATAGCAACCATTTACTGATATTAGGTAAATAACAAACAACAAAGGGTAAAATAGTCTTTTTTTATCAATTAAATGGGAGAAAGTGGAGCAGTTTGGTGAATGAGTAACATGTTCATTTTTTTAACACCTAGCTAGCTAATCATTTTTTTGTTGATTATGTAAAACGTGGAGAAAGAATTAATAGAAATCTCTTATGTCAACAAAAGAATGAATCTCTTATTAATATTCGATTAATAAATTATAAGGGTGGAAGATAATGTTAGATTGTTGGCTAAGTAAGTGATTATAAGTTACTTTCACAATAATTTTCCTAATAACTATTAATGTATTGGACAACTATTAGAAAACATTTTTTGGTCTCATGTCTACCAAACTATTATAGGAGTATATATTAAAAATACATATATTGTAAAACATGCCTTAAACAAAGAGATAATCTTTTTATTATTTAGCTTTATAAAGTAATAATAAATCAATGGTATAGTTCATGTTTGAATAAATGAACAAAATTGTCCATGTATAAAAACTTATGTTTAGTTAATTAAAGGGCATTTTGGTCTTTTTTGAGGATCAGAATGTGATAATAAGGGATTGAAAGTTCGGTTAATCTATACTATTTCAGAAATTGGCATGAAGGTATAAAAGAGTGGCATACTTGGTATGATAAGTTTTAAAAGTTTGGAATTTTGGTTGAGCTTTTCAAGGAATGGAATGTGATAATAAGGAACTCGATCAGAAACTGTTTGATTGTATTAAGCAATAACATATATGCTATGATTTATCAATACATGATATAAAAATTTGGATTTGCGTTTCAAGTTACATGTTGCACCAATTAACTGTTGATACACCTATAATATTCAAGATCCAATCAAGAAAAGTCCAAAATCTTTTATTCACTACAAATTTAATGCATAAAAAGGATCAAATAATTAGTATACCTGGATATTTACTTTGAATATTGGATATAAAATAAATAGGTGCTTCATGATCTAGAATGTATACTATTTTGCCCCTGTTACTGCATCCCACAATGGTAGAAAGCTTCATTTTATATGAACTTATATGTGTATGTCAATAAAAAACTAAGTATACAGAAGGAATAAAACCTTTAATTGCATCTTCAATTGGTAACTCTTTCTATATCGTTATGGGGTTACCAGATACATAAGCTGCAATTGAAACTTCTAAAAACTTCTGTTCATCAGAACATGTAATGTGTATAATGCAAAATTGTCATAAGTAAAGAACAATAGGTGACAACTCAATGAGATGACGATTTGAAGCGCTTTTGTCACGCCCCAAAACCGGAACGACAGAAACGTTCTAAGGCGGAGGACGTCATGTACAATATCACAACAAAGCATAATAGTAAACAAGTAACAACATCATCCATTGCATTAATAATATAATTTAATACAAGTGTGTTATGTATAGTTTTAAGACACCAAAATATGAATGATCAAAATAAGAGATGAGTCTTGGATGTACTCCATCTTCTCAAAACCTGACATCGATACCTGTCTACTGATGACCTGAGAATACAAGTTATTTTGAAAGAGTTTATCAGTTTTAAAGCTGGTGAGTTCATAAGCATTTTAGTATCATTGTTTGTATGAATTTTTTTGTAAGTGTCTGATGTATAGTTTGTAGTAAATGTTTGTATCTCCTAGAAAATCCTATATTTTCTACTAAAAAGTAGCCTTCTACCAAGGCATCAAATGTTCTATATGTTTGTTTCTTGTAAAAGTGTGTATTTTTCCCAAGTGTGACTATCATTACAAAATATAGTTTTACATTACCGTTTATGTGAGAAGATCACAATGTGAATGCAATGGGAAATAATAAAGTACTATAGTGTTGTATTATAGTAACTACAGCTATACTAACTACCTTAAACTGGTTGTTAATTAAGGTATAATGTGATATAACTGTAACCATACTTGATTGACTTAGTAAAACACGACGCTCGAAGACGTCGAAATGGTATGACATTCGTCACCCGTAGACCTGCAGGTCCCACTGTAGCTAGCAGCAAAGTGTAGGATGGTCAATCATGTATAGATCTAACAACCTTAAGGGGTATGAACTCACCTGTAGTGAGTGGTTTGGATGAACGAGTTATCTAGGATGATAAGTGCCAAGTGAAGACTTGAGCACACACATGGATCCTGTTTATCATATAATGATACATCTATCTATACAATTAGTGTTTAAACAACTAATTATGCAAGGAAAGACACCCTAGGTCATAGAAAACACATAGATTGAAGGGTATGAATCACATATGATTGCATACTAAGGGTATATGGCCACACTAAGGAGTTTACGGCCCAAATGGCATGACCAAGAGAGTTCACGGCCATGAGTTTACGGCCATATGAGATTTCGGACAATGAGTTTACGGCCACTAGAGTTTACGACCGTAAGCTCATTCTATTTTGTTCATATGGGTGTTTTAAAGGGCTTTCAAGCATTGAGGAAAGTTTCTAGGTTCATGTCCAAGCCTTAGGAGGAGTTTAAGGTCCAAATGCACTTCAAACTAGGGTTTACGGCCAAGGGATACGCTCTTGGCCGTAAACACCTCATGTTCTTGGGAAAAGCTTGTTTTGAAGGTGTAGATCAAGAGTCCTAACTAGATAGCAAGTATATAAGAGGATACTTACGAGGTTGAAGCTTAGAAGAGTAGTTTTCGGCCCAAAGAACTAATGTGCTCTTGATGTTCTTGAGGATCTTGAAGATCTAGACCCAAAAGATGGAATTCATGGATGAATTCAAAGGTAATTCAAGAATAAGGGATGTATTAACACATAGATGGAAGGAATCACTTACATTTTTGAAGAAAAATAGTTAAGAGCAAAACCGAGTTGTTGGCTTGAAAGTGGTAAAAGGGTTGACATATAGCCAAGAAACATATGTATGTAGCCAAGAGTTTACGGCCAACCATGAGTTCATGACCGTAAACTCATGTGCCTTGGCCGTAAACTCCTTATTAAGGGGTTTATGGCTTGATTTTTGGTTTTGAACTTTAGTTGACACATCCCAA